TAGACTCTAGAGAATCAAGCAAAAAGTTATCTTCATGATACTAAAATTTTGTTTTGAGATTTGTATGTTACAGAATGTAGAGCCTTGGTGAGTTTCATCGTCAGACATGCTAAACTGACCTGCTTGAACTGCTGATGTCTTGGACTTTCAGCGAGATCCTGTCAAGACACAGACATCAGAGACTAAAACAATAATTGGTGTGGTCTTCTTAAGGCCAATAAAGTCCCCCATTTTCCCTACTCCCTCCCCCCCCAACTCAAAATATCTCAACGTCTATATTCAACTTGAAGAAGTTATGAAGAGTCACTGCCACAGTCTCCTGGGCTTTGAGGCTGGAGGGGGTTGCTATAGGTTGTCTTTCTAGAGAATGTAGAAATGGTCATAATTGGAACAGGGAGGAAGTAGCTAGAATGGATGGTATAGCCATAATATCAACTGGTAGAAATCTTTATAATTGTTACTAAATTGAAGTCATAATTTCTTAAATTATTTAAGAATAATTTATTTTGATGCAAAATCAAGGGTTTCATTGAGATAAATTTTTTTCTATTGAAAAGTACAGGTCTTAGACCCTGCCCTTCTATAACTGTTATTATAAATTGATCTGAGATGATTAAGCCTGTGAGTTAAGGGCCAAATAGCAAATTCATGGCTCTGAGCCTATTGTTAGGGTGTTTTCAAGATTTTAATTAGAAATAGCTGAGAGTAATTAATGGAGAACAGTCCAGATTGCTTTACATAGATAGTTGGTTTTCAAACACATCAGAAATCCACAGAATGTGACATTTAATGTTATCTATTCACTTGTTGTAGAAACAAGTCTGCTTCTGACAGCATCCCTTTCTTGGATTCACAGAAGAAATTGAGCATCAATGGAGTTGCTCCAGTTGTGATGAGACAGTGACTAGGCAAGAATTGCCTCATTTCATCTACAGACAAAATACTGTCCAAAAAAAGGACACAATTTACAGGTTAGGACAGCTTAGTTCTGCCATGACAGAATAGGCTCATCCTTAATAATTCCTGTATCTCAAAGGTCTGTCAGATGATCCTGGGCCAGAAGGCTGAAGACTGATTCTCCAACTTCCTGATTTCTAGGGCTGTATAGGTAGGCAGCTGTCTCTGTAGTTTGTTTCAGTTCTGGATGCTGTGTTAGGCTTTCTATATGTTTTCATTTTATGTTGGTCATTCTCAGATTTCTGACAAAGTTGAATGACTACTTATAGTCTCATAGCCAACCCAGCCTATTTATATTGAGAGAACAGGTTTGAGAAGATGATTTTCAGATGGCGTACAATCTAAAGCCAGGACATGAATTGAGGTAGATTCATAAGTCTTTTAATTTAGGATAGATGACAATGTTCTATCTTAATGACAAAAATGATGGACTGGGTGTTAGGTCTATCTTATACCTTATAATTTACAAAATGATAATAGTTGTGTTCCATTTATATTTTGAGAGAAGAGTTTTTTCTTTATTTAAACAGAAAGGGTGACATGTAGCAGGATTTTCTCTGTCTACTTACATTAAAATATTAGTGCAGCATGAGGCCTGTGATTGGACAGGGGAAAGGAAGGCAGAACTAAGTGTGTCAAAGAGAGTGAGTGACTTACGAGAGAGGGAGAAGAATCCAGATGGAGGGCAGACAGGAAGAAGATTCTGAACCAGTGTGATTTTAAACAGCCATAGGTAGATATGATTTCATATAGGAATAGAATGATTGGGATAACTTGTATATTCTAGGTGGGCAACTTGTACCATTATCAATTGCCCTTGAAATTATTTGTGGGCATCTTGTGAACTGAAAATTTACTGATGTGTAAATCTGACTGGTTAATTATAAGCTTCAAGAGTGTTGTTTTACTGGGTTACTGGAAGATGGGACCACCAATCTCAGGAGGGTTATAGTTGTGAAGGAATTAGCGGCTCCAGAGACAAGCAAAGCAGTGTCAGCTACGCCAGCATAGCTAACTGAGTTCCTTGGATCGGCGGAGGGCTGAGGGCGAGAGAAAGAAAGACAAAGAGTCATCTGGTAAAGAACCAAATGCTCTATTTTCAACTGTGTAGACCCCTTTTATACTCCCCACAAAACAGGAACACAAACAGGAACAGGAATAAAAACAGGAACAAGGATCAAAACAGGAACAAGGATCAAAACAGGAACAAGGAGACACACTTGGCAGCTTATCACCTAAATTTGGATTTCTCCTTGAGCAGTCTTCTCAGGGAAATGCATAGAGATGGAGGATCGGGCATAACAGCACAGGTGCAGAGGATGTTGACTCACAAAGCAGAGCTGGGAATATCATGACAAGTTGCTGTGGGAGTTATAGACACAGGCGGAACTTTTCATTAATACATCCCTCAACACATTTCTTTTTTATTTTATTTTCAAGTATTAAATTCATCTTTATGGCACAGTCTATATCTGATGATAATTAGAAATTTTATGCAGTCATGTTAATATTTTTGTCTATACAATTTGACATTCAAAAAACATGTTTTGGCTGACAGATCACTATTTTCAAAAATAATCAATAAATATCCTGTAACAGTGGAGTCTTATCTGTTCTGAATTGAATATTGTGTGGAAGATCCAGTTCCACTCTCAAATTTCTCATTTACCTTGTAGCATGGCAAAGCTAAATACTGAACAACTTAAGGATTCCCTAGTGACAGCAATATACCTGGGGTCCCAACCTATTTTAACTTATTAACCCATGATTGTCACTTTGATTTGATTGAGAAAGTTTTTATTTTACTTTTGAATCATTATTTATATCTTATTAGAATGAACTATATGAATGCAGAGTTTAAAATGGTCATCAGTGATCTTGTTAATCCACTGGATTAATGACAGAAAAGAATGTGAACCAGTGGTTTGGCATTCATTGGAACACCCCCAAATTTCCACCCATTTATTCTAAAGAGGTTAATAGGAGCACTTAGACAATAGACAATAACTAGAATGTACAGTGGGAGATTTTGCCTCTTAGAAATTTATCTAGTCATATTTTTCAGTTTATATTTATGCTGTTTTTCGAAGTTAAAATATACTTAGTTAACTGTACACTATCTGGCAAATTGTTTTTAAAATTAAATATATAACTTTTATATGATGGCACTTTTATTGTTGAGTTGTGGGATATTCACCTTTACTAAACTATTTATAGAGGTAACTTTTAATGGTAAATTCTAATGCTATTAATAAATAACTAACATCAAGAAGGATGAGGATAGTTGCTATAATAGACATGATATAGTTACATTAATATTAATAATAACACCATACTATTTAAATAGTGATAATCACTGTAAGAAATATGACATGGTAACAAGGAGGGATATACAAAATCTACTGCTTAATGAAGCCTGATTATAGATAATACCAACAGGAAAGCATCATAGAAATTGTGGAATTGATTTTCAGTGTAAAAAGAAGCCTTTAAAACTTTATAGCTTGAAAAAGTTCTAGTGATTTGGGTGCATGTCCTGCAGTGGTTATATTTTAAGATATAAAACAAATAACTTCACAGTTATGATAGGAAAAGGGTAGATAGATAAATCTAATTGTATGAGTAAGTTCATACTCAGGAGTATTTAGAAAACATATTCAAACAAGTAGTTCTTGATGAATATACAATGTCTAAAATATTCAATTGCTATATTTCAGCTTATCTCATTAGCTGCTGAATAGTTTTAATATCCATCTGACACCAGTAATCTTCCTTAGAATTGTTAGATAAAGTTATGAACCATTTATATTACACTCTTCCCCACAAGAGTCAGAGAGAATGGTTTGATGGCTGAAAATGATGTCTTTTGGACACAAATAGGTCATTGAACCCGTGCACTTGCCACAGTTGTGTTTGCTTGCACAATCCAAACAAAACAACCCAGTCAATTTTCCAGTATGGATGGAAGAGTAGGCCTCACCCTTCCTAAGGGGGCAGTTGATGGATACTGGAGAAGAGAGAAGCAATTTTCTTTCATGACATGGGCTATGGTGTGTTGGCCATGTCCAGCTGGATATCCCTAAACCTCTACATATAGAGAATAATAATTGAACTCAGTGGGTAACTAACACACACACACACACACACACACACACACAGAGAGAGAGAGAGAGAGAGAGAGAGAGAGAGAGAGAGAGAGAGAGGTATGGGATGGAAAGAGAGAAGAGAAGAATAGGAAAGGGGGAAAAAGCAGTGGGTATGTTCAAAATGCATTGTATACACTGGATACATGCATACGATTGTTAAAAAAGAAATCTATCTTAAAATTTATGGAGATGAATATAGAATGCATGTAATCTTAAATTTTCAATATATCGTCAAAAGTTATACATATTTATATAAAAGGGAAAGTGAGTTAAGCCAAAAAAAATCAGGATCAAAAGAAACAATATATTTTCAATGAAACTACAGGTTGTATTTGAATTTAATAGCTAAATTAAAAATCAGAAATCTATTTAGGAACTCTGCTTGCTTATTTGATTTTCTTTTAAAATTCTTCAGTTTCTACTAAAAGGTCATAAAGAAGCCCATTATATATGACTACTATATAGTAATAAAAATATTTTATAAAGGAAAAAGCATTTTCCTACACAAATAAATGTAAAAATACAATTTCAGTAGATGTGGCAATGAAAAATAGCAGCATCCTTGAGAAGAAACCAGAAGTGGATGAATTTTTTTTTTTCTGGATTACTAGAAAAGACTATTTCAGAAAATTAACATCTGAACTTTAATATAATGAGAAAAATAGAAAATAATGTATAAAGTTTCTTTCATGAAGAGTAATTTCTTATGTAAGACCATATACAAATGAAAAGCACAGCATTTTTAGTGACACAGCAGTTTTCATGAAACTGAGATGATTTAGAAGTGACCGGCATCACAAGAGATAGAAGTGATATGGAAGGTGAGGTGTATCTTCTGATTGGGGAGAACTAGAATTAGTAGTATCTTGAGGTAAGTGCTTTAAGAACTTTGGTTTCCCTACTCCTACAAGGTAAATGGCTGCTAAGTCACATGTGTGTTTCTAGGTGAGAGAAAGGAGAAAGGCTATGTCTATTCTCAGTGTTCTGACAGGTGAACATTTGAAGAGTTTGTAGCCTAATATTCCATGAAAAATAGCAATTCTGAGATTACCATCAGTTTGACACCAGGTAGGCCTTGAAGGCTTTCTGAACAGGAAGAAAGCCAAAGACTAAAAGAACCCTGCCTGTGACTGCAGGCACCAGGTGGTAGTGATCCCAAGACAGATGACCCTTGAAAATCAAGCAGTGAGCCCAGTACTAGACCATCAGACTAGTGAAATGGAGTATGGTCAAGGAGCGAGCCTCAGTTGACCACCAATTAGGTGCTATGCAGGCCTATGGAGATAGACCAGGCCCAAGATGAGCCCTGCCTAGTGCCATAATGAACAAGCAGGACATAGCCATTTGTACTAGGGCTGCAAGTAAATGGTGGAGAAATAGAAAAAAAAAGAGAAGCAGACTGATATAGGCACAATGAAGAAAGGCAGAATTGATGACTCCAGGGTCATGAGGAACACCTTGATGTGAGTAGACAGACAATGCTGGGGTTCTGGTCTGTGCTGCCACCATGGATCAAGTCTTAGTCCATGGTTTGAAGGTGTCCATTTTCACCTAAGGCCAAGAAGATGTCCCTGATCTGGGCTGCCACCCAGGGATGTGTTACTATCTGAGGGCTGTGCAGATCTGGCCTCAAGGCATCTTAGAGAAGCTGGCCCTGAAGGCATAAGAGCAGGAGATCTGACCCCACTCCTATCTAGTTGCAGTACTTGGGAAAGAAAGTACTATATAGTGTTGAAATTGCAGGTGAGCCATTCCCAAGGGCATGAATGTAAGTAAGCCAACCCTGCCTCTTTTCTGCTATGAGGTGGCATAGATAGGAAAGAGATCTCTTCCTGTCCCTTTTGCCCTCACCAGTGGCAGCTGCTCTGGTGCTGCTGCACTAGGAAGAACAATTCATGCACCTGACCTGTGCAGCTGGCCCTGGATGTAAAAGAGTCCAGGCAATATTTAAGGGCATGAGTGTGGGAGGCCTGCCCCTGCCTCTTGCCTGCTGGGCAGTGTGGTGGATCATGAAGAGATGCTCTCCGCCTATTCCTCATCCTTCACTATCTGTGGCAAGCTGGAGAGCTGGTACTGGGGTCATGAGAGTGGGACAACTGAACATCTCCCTCACTGGCTGACACACTTGTCTGAGTGGGCCCTACACCTTACCCGGGTAGCAGGGTAGAGCTCTAACCCACACTCCTGGAGGTGAGGGGGCAGGAGTGTTGCTGGTGAGCCACCCCATTGGCATGAGAACAAGAAAGCTGTTGGGTTGGCAACCTCAGATAACTCTCATTCCCAGATGCAGGGCTTTGAATTGGTCGACCCCAACATCTACCCCATCAAGGAACTGATGGAGTTCATGAAAGGCCAGTCTTACGGATCCAGAACTATAGGATTTCCATGATACAGGGCAACAACTGGATATCCAGAATATCCAAGAGGAGTCCCAGTAAGGTTCCAGTATTGATAGAGTAGCAGAAGCCAGAGGCCTTGTACAAGACCGACAAGTCATTGTCAACAAAGCAAACATTGTAAGCAAATAAGTGTAAACAAAAGGGTATACTGTGGGATACACTATGACATACTACAGTTTCCATAAGACATTTTTCAGTGTTTAGGGGGAGGTTTTAATAATGGAAAGCAGATATAAGGGGAGGAGGAGATGAATAAAATGGAGTACATGACATGAAATTCACAAAGGACTAAAAAAGAAAAAGAAAAAAAAACTCTTTTCTATACCTCATATATTAGGTGGTGACAATAACCCTATGCCATAGGCAATCCATAAAGACCAAATTAATTAAAGTATCTTAAAATAACACCCAGTACAGAATAAGTAAAATATAAAAAAATAAAATATTACAAGTATCTAACACATGGGTCAAAATTTTCAAATTGTACAAGAAAGAATTCCAAGGCATACAGTAAATGTTTAAGCAATGTCATGCATGTTTCATATAGTAGAGATTGAACTCTATCATTATAGCATGAATTATGTTAATAAAACATCACTTACTCAAAAGAATTTTAGCACACACAAGATTTACCTGAAGAGTTGAAGATGTCACTCTGAAATAACACTTGTTTAAGTCATGCGTCTATAGGTATCACACAGCCCAAAAGTCCTGAAGATCTGGAAGTTAGTGTTAGCTAGATTTGTATTTTTCAAAATGTATTTATTTATTGATGGGGAGCCATAAAGGACTGCCCGTCATTTTTGACACAGCAACTCACTACAACTATTGGGAAGACCTTAACCATAGAGCAGTAACATCTCCCATTAAATCAATGACCTACACAACTACAGCTAAGAGCTGAGTAAGTGCTGCTTTAAATAACTAGGTTTGGAAATAATATTCAAGAAAGCAAAATCAAGTTGAATTATAGTTAGACTGGCCATTATTCTCAAAGAATTCAATAGATGACGATAGGCTTCTTTTTATATGATGACAAAACCTTTATGTCAGAATTCCTAGAGGCAGCTGCGTCTACAGGGCTTCACAATAGGTGAACATCTGCTTTAGGGAACCAAAGGACACTAGTTAAGAGAAATGTGCACATTTTTCATGTTTGAGCACAATCATTAATCATAACTTATTTTTAAACTGGCCATGGTGGAGCATGTCTTTTTTTTCCAGCATGTGGAGCAGAGACAGACAGATTTCTGTGATTTCGAAGGCAGCCTGCTCTACATTGTGAGTTTGGTCCAGCCAGGGCTAAAGAGTTAGACTCCAGCTCAAAGACAAAATGGAGAGAAGGTGTTTTCACATTCATAGAAAATAATAAATTTCTATTCTTAGAAAATATCTGTCTAGTTTTGTGAAAGCAACAGTCAGAAAATTTCTGAAAAAAAAAATGCTAAATGAACCAAGACTAACTGGAGCCCTACTGTATTTTTCAGTTTTTAGGAAACAGAGACTGTTGAGATCCCTCTTTTTTTCCTGGTTGCTCTTAAGCACAGTTTACTTTACATGCCTCTCCAACACACACACACACACACACACACACAC